GTTCTTGCTTAACATTTATAATGTCCTAGATTCCATCCACAGCACCAGGAAAGGAGGGGAGAAAGAAAAAGAAAAAAAAAAGAGGACCCCCCCACACACACACACACACCATCCTTCCTGAGAGGGGCCTGGGGTTGGGTCTTCATGAATATGTAAATCATCCATGTAAATGATGCTTAATACGCACTGTGATTGGGGCCAACGGGTTCTTTGTAGCAATGTTTGCAGCTGCATCTGTCTACTGCCCATACTCAGGGGATGGAGCTGTCCTGCCTCACACAGCAAGTTCCTCCAACTGATCAAGGCATACCAAATGTACTGTGGTCTTATGCAATGTAAAAAACACACACAAGATGCCACATAATTTCCCAGAACTTTTCTCACAAATCAAGAAGTGCTGGTTTCGGGCTTAAATTATAAAGCAGTTGATTTGTTATGATAAAATTTCAAATTAATGTGCTAGTATTCCGGGAATCTGAATGTGTTCTCTTCCAGGATAGACAAATACTGGTAAATAGAAGAAATCATGCTGGTTTTTCCGCTCTTGTTTGAAACTTAAATTGTTTGTTTTGAGACAGGGTCTCATGTAGCCCAGGCAGGCTTTAGCAACTTAAATAAAACTGAATTTTCCCATCAGAGTACTATCCAGGACCAACTCCTTTTAGCTTCTGTGATCTGGTTAGATGCAATGTGTTTAGAAAATAAGAAAGGAAAGTGAAAGGCACAAATTGAACCCCAAAGTCTCCACAGTTCCTACCCTCCTTAAAGTAAAGTCTAATTTTTCCCTGGCCTGTGAGATGTGGTGGCCTTGACACATACCTCTCCTGCTTGAAGAGCTCCCCCTCTCCAAACACATCCCAGCCTCGGGGCCTTTGCACCTCCTGTTTCTGATGCCTTCACAGAGTCAGTTGTGTTACTCAGAATCCTGGGCTAATTTCACCTAAGAAAGGCCTTCCCCAGCTGTCCTGTCTCCAGAACCCTGCCCAGTTATTCCCCTACAGCGTCTGTCCCACTGCCCTCACAGTTGTCACGAAATTTGTCATATCAGTTATCTGTTCAGTGGTTTGTTATCTGTATCTCCTTATCATCTACAATTGAGCTCCACGGGCCGTGAACTGGCCTGTCTTGTTCGTGCTTTAGAAGAGTAACATAGAAGTTGGGCAAGGAATGGGTCTCAGTTGGAAGATTGCTTACCCAGCATGCACAGAGTCCTGGGTTCCATCCCCAGCTACACATCAATTGTGTGTGATGATGCATGCCTGTAATTGGCAGCCCTTGGAAGGTAGAGGCAGGAGGACCAGAAATTCAAGGTCATCCTCGGCTACATAGCTGAGTTGGAGGATAGCCTAGAATAAAGGAAAATCTATCTTTAAAAAAAAAAGTGTAACATGAATGAACAAATGAAGGAATGAATGACCAGATAAATCCACTAGAAAGGGGAGGAAGGGAGGGAAGGAGGGATGAGAAAGAGGAAGGATGGAGTTATAAGCCAACCCTCATACAAGGAGTATGGTGCCTGGGTATTTTTCTAGATTATTGGAGCCGTGCTATACATCTTCATTGTTGGGACCTAACATGGTGGCAGTGTAGTTTTATCTCACGTCGAGCTCTTCAGAGGCTGTGCTGAGTGTCCCCCATTGCCATAGGTTTCCCCATCCTTCCAGTGCTCTGCAGTGGGGATAGAGAACCTGCTGGGGCTGTGGGTGGGAATGACAAGGAGGTGCTGTGGTGTGCAGGGGCCAGGGATCACGCAGCTTCCTAACCCCAGGCCAACACTCACATTCCCCCATGCTGCTCCACAGGTCTTCATGCAGTTTCCATTAGGGTCATGGTTTTCCTTAATAGACTCCCCATCCTGCTGGTCCTTGGAGCCCAGGACTAGAACACCATATGGGGTCTGGCCAACCAGCATGGCAGACAAACCAGGGAGAAGCTGAAGACCCAAGTAGTTCCACTCTAGGCTGGCAGGCAGGGTGTTAAGACTCCTGTCATCCCTTCTTTTGCCTACAGGATGGGATGCGTGAAGTCCAAGTTCCTTCGAGATGGAAGCAAGGCCTTGAAAACAGAGCCAAGTGCCAATCAGAAGGGTACTGTGTATGTGCCAGATCCCTCGTCCTCCAGCAAGCTGGTGAGTAGGGCACCCAGGGAGCTGAGCCATCCAGCACTTGCCATAGGGCCTTCAAACCCTTTCTCAGCCTGGCCCAGTGACATGAACTTAGGATGAGATGGCCATGAGCCACCTCTAGGATGCTTCTCTAGGCATGGAAGCTGCCTCTTCTGTAGCAACCAGGGCCTGGCACAAGTCTCTGCCTCTCAATCAAGTTGAGTGTGGGCCTTGAGCCTGGGTCCTGTCTACAGCAGTGCAAGCGGACCCATGACAACAGCAGTAATCTGCCTGACAAGGGCATAGCAGCAATCCCAGCAAGGAGAGTAGCAGTCATAGTAGGGACTGATGGATGGCTCAATGGATAAAATACTGTTGCTCACGTGTGAGAACCAGGGTTTGGATCTCTAACAGTGTCTATAATCCCAGTGCTCAGAGGCAGAGACACAGGCTCTCCAGAGAAAGCTGACTAGATAGACTGGCCAATCAGACACCTTCCCTCAATATATGATGTGGAGAGGGAGGAAGGAAGACTTCAGGGCCTCCATACATACCTGCATACCTGTACACAGATGTACATCTACATACATGTGAACATGCATAAATGTACATTACACACATACGAAACAAAAAAAAACAGCAATAATGGCTATATTAGTTACTTTTCTATTGCTGTGATAAGACACCATTAGCAAGGTGACTTATAGAAGAGGGGGTTTAATTGGGCTGACGGTTCTAGAGGGTGAGAGTCCAGGATGGTAGAGCAGAGGCAGCCTGCACAGCGGCTGGAGCAGCAGCTCAGCACTCACAACTTGAGCCATAGAGAAGGAACCAGAAACGGTATGAGTCCCACCCCCGTGACACACCTCCTCCAGCAAGACCACACTCCTCAACCTCCCAAATATTGCTATCGGTTGGGGACCAAGTGTTCAAATGCAGGAGCCTTTGCAGACCACCACAGTGGCTGTAGGAGCAACAGCGAGAGTGGTCAACAAAGTGGCACACAGCCCAGTCCATGCAGTGATTTCCACACAAGGACCCGAGCTCCAACTCTAGAACTCATGTTTTAAAAAAGAGAAATGAAAAGAAGCCAGATACAGCGATACATGCTTCTAACCCCAGCACCGAGGAGGTAGCAGCGTGCAGATTCCTGAGGCTTGCTAGTCAGACAGCCTAACCTAATCAGAGAATGTTATGCTAAAGAGAGATCTCGCTCCCACAAAACAGAACAAGTGCACGACTCCCAAGGAAGAATGACCTAACAAAGACCACATGATCAGCAAAAGCATAAAATCAAGAGTTGCTGAGGCAGAAGTGAACGCTCACACTGGGTGCTGTGGTTGAGGTGGCACTAGGGTGACAGCCACAGCAGGTGGCTAGTCCCACACAGCCACTGTGATGGTTCCCATAGGCTCATGAATCTCAGAGCTTGCCAGCAGGGATGATGGGAGCTATGGTCACAGCTATGGTCACAGCAGCATAGCAGGTGTAATTGTTGCCCTCTTCTCTAGACACACTTTGTTCTGGGCACAAGGAGCAGGTGTGTCCCTGAGAATCTTCACCTGGGCCTGGGAAGCAGGAGGATGCTGTGTGCCATCAGGGTGTCTAAGGTTCAAAGAAGTTGGGTGGTCCTGGGGTAAGGAGATCAAGCATCTGGGAACCCATCAAGTCTGGGGCCTTTCAATTCCAAACCTGGAGCTCTATCTGCTTTGTGGCCCTTTGGTCCTTCCTTTCATTTGCTAGTGATGAGGGGAACACACTACTCAGAGTTTCCCAAAGTGGAGTGCACCCCTTCATCTGCTGGTCCCTTAAGAAGCTCTTCCAAAGTCAGTGAGGTGAGTCTGGGATAAAGGCACTTGCATTGCAAGCTCGACAGCCTGAGTTCAAGCCCCAGAAGAAACATAGAGGCGGAAGGGGGGAAGTGACTTCACAGAGATAACTTTAGACATCCACACTCTTACACCATGCACTCACAGAACACACAATATTTTAAGTTCTTCCTCAGCCAGATGGTGGTGGCACACACCTTTAATCCCAACACCCTGGAGGCAGATGTAGTCGGATCTTTGATTTCAAGTCCAGCCTGGTCTACAGAGTGAGTTCCAGGATAACCAGGGCTACACAGAGAAACCCTATCTCAAAAAGAGAAAAAAAAAAGTTCTTCTTCATTGAAGGGAAGTCAGTTACATATAACCCCTCCCATTTATCCCAAGTCTGCCCCAAACACATAATGTCCTTTCACCCAGTGACAGCCCACTGTGAAGGCAAAACCTTACCCCTGGTCCAGTCCTTCTGTGCTCTCATTTTTGGGTTGTGAGCCCTAGACTTCTGTCATATGTATCCTTTTCCAAGTGGATGGCTTGAAATAAGACTATTTCTGGGAAGTGGAGAATAATGTCATGGTCCCCTTCCTCTCTTTGCATTTGACCTCTGTCAGCACAGCCTGTGGTTACACAAACATCTCACGTTGGTAACATCCTGATTTGGTTACAGATGGTTGCCTTTAGCCATCACTTGGGAAGCCCTGGTTCAAAGGACAGCTTTGGGTTGTCCTGAGAGCAGATGAAGGGGTGCAGTTGTCAGCTCAAGTTGCTCCCTCTTTCTCAGTGCTGGCCCAGAGGTGGAAGTAAGTTAAGAGAGTGTTTCTCAGAGAAGGTGTTCCCAGGCCAAATATGTTTGAGAAACCCCGGACGACACAGGTACCTTCCTTAAGGACACCTTAAGAACCTTTGAGAATCTTTTAAAACAAACAAAAATCAAGTATCCCTCCATGCTTCCTCAAACGACTGTGTAATGGCAGGTGTGACGGGGGGAACACTCTTATTGAAGATGCAGTCACGAACTATAGAGCTCTGAAAGTGACACATCCCCTAAAAGCATCAAGCACTATCAATTTGATATGGGCACCAAAAAAACAAAAACAAAAAAACAAAAACAAAAACCCTTTCCATGCATTTACCAACCCACTACCAAGTATGTGTCCACAGGAAATGTGTATGAGCGTTTGATATAAATATATAATTTGTTTGTTTATATGCTTGCTTTTAAGACAGGGTCTCACTCTGTAGTCCAGGCTACTTGGTACTCACAGCCATTCTGCTTGTCTCCCAGAGCTGGCATTACACATGCGTGTGCCACCATGCCCAGCTTCAATAATGTAATGTTCAGCAGATGTCTTAGTTAGGGTTTCTATTGCTGTGAAGAGACACCATGGCCATGGCAACTCTTATAAAGGAAAAACACTTCATTGGGGGTGCCTTACATTTTCAGAGGTTTAGTCCCTTATCATCATGGTGGGACATGGTGGCGTGCAGGCAGACATGGTGCTGGAGAAGCAGCCGAGTGTCCCACATCTTGACTTGCAGGCAACAGGAAGTGGTCTAAAATGCTGGGTGTGGCTTGAGCACATAAGAGATCGCAACACACTTCCTCCAACAAGACCACACATATTCCAACAAGGCCACACCTCCTAATAGTGCCACTCCCTTTGGGCACTATTTGGGCCATTTTCTTTCAAATCACAACAGCTGAAGTAGCTGCTTTCACCCAGCAATGCCTGTGAAGTCCTCTAAGTGATGCTTAGAGGCCCATGGTCCTGGTGACCATGCCCCTTTGGCTGGCTGAATGCTCAGATTGCTCCACATGCATGATGGAGTCTGTCCATGAGAAAGCTGGTACCCAAGGTACCTTCAGACATCTCTGAAACGCACTGATCTGGACCAGCTCCCTCACTCTGTGGGAGGATTAGTCCCTACTTTCCCAGTATTTCAAGGCAAGAGCCCAGGTCACAAGCTGAGAGATCTCCATCCTTGAGCAAGTCCTGCCCCTTATTACACCATGTGACCCACCTATTCCTGTAGTAATCCTCTCCTACCAGGACCCAGGGCCACAGCAAGATATCCTTAGGTGTCCTTTTAACACCTGCTCCTTACACTTTAGGCCCATGTCCTTTTCCTGTTTCTTCCTGCAGGGGCCAAGCAACAGCAACAGCATGCCCCCAGGGCTTGTGGAGGGTGAGTATCTGGAAGCAGGGGTGGTGGCGTTATGCACCATCTATTAGCTTAGGTTCTGAGTTGTAGCTAGTGGGAAAAAGTTAAAAACATCTGTATTAGTTCAGCTTTGTTTGTTTGTTTGTTTGTGATGCTGTGATAAAACACTATGACCAAAAGCACCTTGTTTATTTCATCTTACAACTCACAGGTCACAGTCCATCACTGAGGAAGTCAGAGTAGGAACTAAGCAAGAAGCTAGGAACAGGAGCTGAAGCAGAGAACACCGAGGAACGGTGCTTACTGGCTTGCTCAGCCTGCTTTCTTATACAATCCAAAACCAGCTGTCCAAGGGAAGCACAGCCCACAGTGGGCTGGACTCTCCTACATCAATCAAGAAAAAATGCCCCACAGACTTGTCCATAGGCCAATCTGATTTAGGCAATTTTTTTATTTGACGTTCCCTTGTCTCAGGTGTTAAGTTGATGAAAGCTAACCAGCACACCATCCTTGAATATCCTCTGAATTATCCCTGAGTTCCTTGCCTGGGCTCTGTGTTTCTAGAACATTGCCCAGTGATGTGGACAAAGTACTGCAGGTTTTAACCGACATCACGCCCAGCCCTGGAGGCTGCTCGGTTGCCCTCTGAGACAGACAATGAGTGGGTCCAGAGTGGGGTGCTGGGGGCCGGCATGGGGTCCCACCCTGGCATCTCCCTTCCTGACAGGCTCTGAGGACACCGTTGTGGTCGCACTTTATGACTATGAAGCCATTCACCGTGAAGACCTCAGCTTCCAGAAAGGAGACCAGATGGTGGTCCTGGAGGAGTGAGTTCTAGCCTGGTCCCCCTAAGACACACACACCTGCAGGGCTTAGCTACACTCCTGTTTTGCCTTATTAAAGAACCCGAGAGCCTATCTTGCTCTGGGAGTAAATAACAGATGAGAACCTGGCTGCCTACCATAGAGGAGGAAGGTTTGCAACATCTTGGGTAATAGAAGCGGTGACGGGGACTGTGCCCTTCCAGCAGGCACTCTGCAAACCTTCCTAAGGCTCCTGTGACTGGGCTCCAGGTGTCCCTGCAGGCCTGGCCCCTTCAGAAGGTTTTGCATTCAGATATCCTGGGGTCTCTGGGTTCCCCACCTGTGGTCATCACAGCTTTCACCATCAGGGGCTCCTACAAGAGTTCAGATTGTACTGAGATCCCTGAATGGGACCTGGCCTTGCACAGCCAAACCCTGAGCCCACAGCCTTGTCCTCTGGGCCCCAGCTGAACCAATCAAATTGAGCACTTCCTGGACACAGGTCCTGAATTGAGCCAGGGTAACCCAGCCAAGGATAAAAGTCCAGGAAGGAGAAGAGATCCAAAGACCTGGGATGTGGTCTGTGACTCGGGGACAGACTTCACCCCAGACTCTTGTAGAGATTATCAGCTCCCCTACCCTAGCCCTGGGCACATGCTGGGTACCCTGCACCTCACCCTCCTAGCTTCCTGGGTGTGGGGAGGGGGAGCTTTCTAGGCCAAAGTGGAAGCCACAAGAGACTGAAGGGTTCCTGTACCCACTGACTATTCTTTCCCTTAGGTCTGGGGAGTGGTGGAGGGCACGATCCCTGGCTACCCGGAAAGAAGGCTACATCCCAAGCAACTATGTGGCTCGTGTGAACTCTTTGGAGACGGAGGAGTAAGTGTCCCATCCTTGTCTTCCAGAAGGCAGCCTGAGCAAAACTGGCCTGCTCCCACCTCCGCACCTTTGAATATACTCTCTCCCGTTTGGCACCCTTTATTTGATTTTATCCTATTTACTTTTCCCCCTTATTTTTGGCTTTGTAGGCCAAGTAAACCAGATGTGCAGGCCCCATTTGGCCTCGCTTTATCCCCCTTTTAGACCACGGGTGTGGGCCTTACTTGGTCAGTTCCCAACTATCATGGCTTAGGCGAGTTAATTTGCTTCTCAGAGTTCTGGCTTCCTCAGATAAAAACGCCCGGTCGTTGAATTTTACTTTTCTTTACTGTCGAATGGCTTTCAGGTTGAGGACAAAGCAGAGTGCCAAAAAGGACATGTGATGGGCTCTGGCACCTGCTGTGAACCATGCATGCTTGAGACTTGACAATGAAATGTGCAGTCCTTTGCTTAGTCACTGGTCGTCCTGACTCTGCAAAGCTGGACACTGCCCATTGTACTCGAAGAAGCAGGCTCGGAGACTGGAATGATTTTATAAACCAGTTTCCCAGTTCAGGAAGTTGAAATTATCCTATGATTTTAAAAATTTAATTAATTAATCCGGGAGGTGGTGGCACACGCTTTTAATCCTATCTTCAGGAATCAGAGGCAGGCTGATCGCTGTGAGTTTGAGGCCAGCCTGGTCTACATAGTGAGTTCCAGGGCAGTCAGACCTACATAAGGAGACCTTGTCTCAGAGAGAAAACATTGATGAATGTTAGCTATCTTTTCCCCTTGTTGATACAGAGGAAACAGAGAATAGAATGAAAGTCATCTAGCAGGGCTGAGACATGCTGACATCTTTTCAAGACTCTCTCCCCATTTTGGTACATGAACTACTCCTTATCCCAGTAAGGGTGAAAACTTCTTCAGCTGCTACAAAAGGAGCATTTCCATCAGTATCCAACATAGCAGAAAAAAGAGAGAGGAGAGAGAGGGGGAGGAAGAGAGAAAGAAAGAAAGCTGTTTCCCTCCAACCACCCCAAAAAGAAAAAAAAAAAAGATGCTACCTGAAGTCAGGTGCTTGGACACTGACCTCTTGGTGGTCTCTGCTCAGTAAGGCCTGGGCATCATTTGAGCAGGATAGATAGGTCCATCCTGAGGCTCATACTGTCCTTATTCGTTTCTGGCAGGTGGTTCTTCAAGGGTATCAGCCGGAAGGATGCAGAGCGCCACCTCCTGGCTCCCGGCAATGTGCTAGGCTCCTTCATGATCAGGGACAGTGAGACCACCAAAGGTGATACCAGCCCTTCCTGCCTCCTGTGCCCCTTGGTGCCACCTCCAACCCCAAGGGACATTCTCTGAGTAGGGCTGAGCAGCTCAGTCAAGTGGCCATGAGGCCAGGTTTTCTCCCTTCCTTTGCTGCTCTGAGTGATGGGAAGGCTAAGGGTCTTTGCTGAGTGACTCTCCTCAGTTTGGGTAAATGCAGGCTTAGGCCAACGGAAGTGGTCTAAGGGTCTTTGCTCTCTTCAGTTTTGGTAAATGCAGGCTTAGGCCAACGGAAGTGGTTTGAGCCCTGGCAACAAACATCCTGCTGCCATTTGGTCCCCACTAAATAGCTCCTAGTTCAATTTTTTTTAAATAGCCACCCTACCGTGTCCTGTCCACAAGTCCCATTCCTCCTTGGCGAGGAAACAGTGTGCAGTAAGGTACAGCTAGACCCAAAACAACCTCTGAGACTCACTTAAAATTCCCTCTTGGTGGGGGAAGTGAGATGGCTTAGCCGTAGATGCCTGGTAAAAGGAAAGAACCAACTCCTGTCCTCTGACTTCCACAAGCATGGCACAGCATGCAAGCACCCTACCCCACAAAGACTTAAGTGGGGAGCCCTTTGGGGGCTTGTGGATAGGAAGAAGCCATGGATGGGTAGACGTCAAGAGTCTTGTCCTGAAATTGTGAGCTGAAAGGATGGCAACTTGAGTGGGTGACTAGAGTTTAAAACAAAATCACCTCAAACCACAGAGTGTGGTTCCAACTAGCACTGCCCCGTGAGTTTCTGCAGGCAGCAGTGCCACAGGCTCTCCATGAGTTCAGACTCTACAGGTGCAGCGCAGTGAGCCTTTGGTTGTCATTTGCTCTCAAAGTCACTTGATTTGAACAGGTCACGCCAGTTATATAAAGCATGACCTGGTTGGTACTGTGAGGCACATAGTTTGAGGGACATTGAAGGCATCTGTGTGTCTGAGACCAGTTCTTCCATCTGTGTGAGGTCAGCCAACATTTAGGCTGCAGAGAGGCACAGTCCCTTACCTCCAGCTATGCCTAGAATAGTAGAGATTGGGCTGTCCAGTTCTGCAGAGAAGCAGAACAATCAGCGGGTGCTGTGGAAGACCTGTGGACAGAAGGATGGGCTGGGCTAGTTCCACAGCCCTCGGTTGGGGGAATCAGACAGATTTAGAATGAGGCCCCAAGCGCTGGCTGCTCCCCAAATCCTGTACACCCTGCCTAGCACCAGCTACTCTGCCCCATGCCCCCACCCCACCCCACCCCCACCTTGACTGGGACAGGGTGGCTAAGAAGGGGCCCTGGAGCCAACTGGCTAGGTTTGGAACCCAACTGTGCCACTTACCAGCTATGTGACACCAGGTAAGTTATGTCACCACCTCAGTGTCCTCGCCTATGTAAAATGACGCTGATAATAGTATAAAACCTCTACCTCATGAGACTATTCACAATGATGAGCAATATAACTCATGTAATTTTAATTTATTAAAAATGCATACTATTCCCACTCATTTATCATGGAATCTTAATTTATTGAAATGCAGACTATTCCTATTCACATGCTGTTCCAGCATGCTTAGAACAGTGCTTGGCATGTACAGTCAGCTGTCACTCGGCAATCTAAACTTCCCCCAGATCCGATGACATTGTGTCATTAAAAAAGAAAAAAAAAAAGAAAGAAAAGAAAGGCAGAGAGGCTAGTTAGGCCAGCTCGTACATTGCAAACTGTGGCCATGGACTGGAAGACCTGTGTGTCTCTGGTCTATGCGACGATCTGTGTCATAGCTGCAAGCTTGGTGGTTTAGAGCAACGTATCTACATTACCTCACAGTTCTGGAAGGCAAGAGTCTGAGCTGCCTGGGCTCTGGTCGAGGTGTCTGTGGGACTGGCTCCTTCTGGGGGCTTACAGGGTGGGGTGGCCCCATTTCTCTTTCCGACCTTTGGGGCTTTGAGAGGCCACCAGCATGCTTGGCTCATGGCTTTTCCTCTCTCTCTCCCTCTCTCTCCTTTCTCTTCTCTTTACCAAATTAGTATGGCATCTTGGCTTTTAAATAGATGACAGATGAATAAATTATTGGTAAATGGATGGGTAGATGGATGGATGGATGGATGGATGGATGGATGGCTATAGATCAAAAATAACGAAGTGATAGTGACAACCAGCCTACTGGCTGTCTCAAGTCAATTACAAGTATTACTTCTGTTGGTCACTGGGCAATGTGATGAGATGGAATGGCATGACGACTCCTATTTCACATGTGAGGAAGCTGAGGTATGCCATGTAGTCATTTGCCCAAGAGCTCACAGCTGAGAATGGCAGAACTGGGCTGGGTAACCAGGCAGCCTGATGCCTCAGCCCACTCAATGACGTGAGCATCTGCCCAGGTGCCCAGGTGCTCACGTGATGCCAGCAGAGGCCTCACAGGGAATCATACTGACATCAGAAGGTCAGGCCTCTGAGGTGCCATTCTGAGGGCCTTCTCTTGGACCAATGCAGGGAGCTACTCGTTGTCTGTTCGAGACTACGACCCCCAGCACGGGGACACTGTGAAGCATTATAAGATCCGGACACTGGACAGTGGAGGCTTCTACATCTCTCCGAGGAGTACCTTCAACAGCCTGCAGGAACTTGTGGCCCACTACAAGAGTGAGTCCTGCCCATGGCCATGCCCCACATTTGCCTGCAGAGCCTAAGCTGGTTATTATTGCTCAGTGCAGCCCAGCTGGGATGCTATCACTAGCCACAGCTTTCATTCCTCAACACCTTGGCTGTGTTTTACAAGGGTTGTTTGGTTCTGGGGAAGGATCGAGAGGCTGGTGTATGCTAGGCAAGTCCTGGATCACATCGGCTCCCTTTGAGAAGGGCCTGTCTCTCAGAATCCCAGTCACATGGGATTTTGCGTGACAGCCAGCCTTCGGGAACTCAGAGGTCTTCCTGGCAGCATTTCTTCATGTTCTGCACTTGTACTGCCTGCTGACTGGACACTCTGTTTCAGAGGGGAAGGACGGGCTCTGCCAGAAGCTGTCAGTGCCATGTGTGTCTCCCAAACCCCAGAAGCCATGGGAGAAAGATGCCTGGGAGATTCCTCGAGAATCCCTCCAGATGGAGAAGAAACTTGGCGCTGGGCAGTTTGGAGAAGTGTGGATGGGTAAGGAGCTGGGGCCAGAGTCCACAGGGCCATGATGGGAGGGCCCTGCCAGTGCGGGGACATCACACAGCAGAGGGACATTTGAATAATAACCCCAGAGGGCCACTCCTCAGATAACAAACCAAATTGTCTACTGGGGAATCACTGTTTTGCCTTTGTGGCCAGACTTGAGGGTCAAAGAATTTCCCTCTAGGAGTCCCGAGTCCTGGATGGTGAAGGCCCTTTGTTGTGTGGAATTGACATCCCAGGGCCTCTTGGGATGGTGAAAATTCACAGTGGTGCAAAGAACTTGGGTTTTTAGGTGAGTCCAATGCTGGCAACTGAAGACTAAGCTGTTCAGATCATGAACCACGATGCCCAGTGACATTTCAGATGTGATGGGGTGCCAGCAGAAAGGTCTGGCACCCCTCTGTGGTCCTTGTCCCAGTACTTTAAGAACAGCAATTCCTGTTTCATGGGGAGGTAGGTGGTCACAGTGTCTGACCCACTGTGTTAACACTCCCCTGTGTGGCAGATGGGAGGGAGACAACTCGTAGAGATGCAAACATTTGACCAGATAAAGTAAGTTGTTTGTTTGTTTGGTTGGTTAGTTTGGTTTTTCAAGACAGTGTTTCTTTGTGTAGTCTTGCCTGTCCTGGAACTAGTTATGTAGATCTGCCTGGCCCTGAACTCTCCTACCTTTGCCTCCCAAGTGCTGGGGTTAAAGGCATGGGCACCACTGTCTGACAGTAAATTTACTGATAGTCTGCTATATCGGGTGCTGGATAATGTCAGGTGCTGAATTAAAGAATGGAACCATGAGGAAATGCAAGGAGGAGAGACAGATCTGAGCAGCAAAGTTGGGGCAAATTAAAGCAAACAAACAAACAAACAAAACTGTCCCCTGAGACCCCATGTCATCACTACAGGAAGCCCACAGATCTGGATTTGAGCTTCCCAGCATCCAAAGCACACATGGAAAGAAAAGCAAATATAGAACAAGAGCCATAAAATGAAGCAGGGTGGGATGGACCAAGAGAACAGAGTGTGCCAGGTCCCCACAGCTGAGTAGTTGACGGACAGGTACATGCAGGGTGGTTAGTGTTTAAAAGCCAGAGAGAAGCCAGTGAGATGGTTCAGCAGGTAAAAAAGGCTTGCTGCAAAAGTCTGATGATCTGAATTCAGTCTCTGGAACCCACAGTGGAAGGAGGGGACTGGCTGGCAAAGTCTGTCCTCTCACCTACACACACACACACACACACACACACACACACACACACACACACACGTGCACACAAGACAGATACACACATGTACACACAGAGAGAGTAATTAATTTAATTTAATTGTTAAAAAGAAAGCGAGAGTAAATTTAGTGACCCAGCTACTATATTGAGACAACTTAGTAAGACCCTTTTTCAAAATAAAAAGTGAAAGGGGGCTGGAGACGTAACTCAGTGGTAGAGCACTTTCCTAGTATGAGGTCCTGGCTCAGTCACTAGTTGTGTGTATTGGGGGTGACCTTGGTGGATGACAAAGACAGAAAAGCAAGCAAGGCCAAGCAGAGTCTGTGGGGCATAGTGAATCTGGTATTTATTCCAAGGCAGTTAAACACTGTGTACAGGCTCATGCCACAATCTAATTAGTGGTTTAAGGGTTGCTACTGTTATTTTACAGCGCTGGGGATCAAATCCAGGGCTTTGCATGTGCCAGGCAAGTACTGTACCACTGAGCTCCAGTCCCAGCCCTTGTTTTTTGAGACATGGGCTGATCTGGAGCTGCCAGCCCTCCTACTTCATAAGCTTAGGAGTTCTAGGGTGACAGGTGTGTGCCCCGAGCTCAGATAGAAGGCTGTCTTTCACTCTTGCAAACAACCCTTCCTTCTGAGTGAGTACTTATTTTCATTTCCACGTAGCAGAAAAGGAAAACACAGCCCGGAGAACTGAGGTGCTTTGTTCATTTGCTCTCATCCAAGAAGCAGGGAGGGCAGCTGAGGCCAAAGTGGCATCCTCTCTCTGTCTTACAGGACTGGGTGGGCAGGGAGGGCTCCACAGGGCTGCTGGATCCTAACCCCCTTCCTTGCTCCATGCTTTCTTCAGCCACCTACAACAAGCACACCAAAGTGGCAGTGAAGACCATGAAGCCAGGGAGCATGTCTGTGGAAGCCTTCCTGGCGGAGGCCAACCTGATGAAGACGCTGCAGCACGATAAGCTGGTGAAGCTGCATGCCGTGGTCACTCAGGAGCCCATCTTTATTGTCACCGAGTTCATGGCCAAAGGTGCGTGGGCTAGGACGGACTGTGGTCCAGGCAGACTTCCAACAATTTCTCACAAAGCACCACAGTCAGTCCAGCCTCCTGGCTCACGGAGTGGAATCGTGTGAAGGGTGGCTTGTGGAGAGGGAGGGCGGGGGCTTCAGAGCAGGGAGCCGGCAGAGCCTCTGGGAAAACAGGAGAGGCATGTGGCTTTCTTGTGACTTGTACCTTGGAACCTTGGCGCTGGGCTGTAGCGAAGCCCTGCTTGGAGTCCTGAGGGACAAGAAGCCTCATGGGGACAGACACCATTGAATGAATGTTCTGCCTCTGTCACCTCACTTCACGCCGCAGCCCACCCAGCCTGCTATGTTCAACCCACAGAATCATGGGAAATGTTCATGTTGTCACTCCAGGCTCCTAAGCTTTGGGCTGCCCTACCTGTGATCATTCAGCATATCTAAGATTTCATTATGTAGCCCAGGCTAGCCTCAATCTCACGGCAGCCCTTTGCCTCAGCCTCACAAGCACGTATGTCTCCACACCTGGCTTCTCGGGGTTTCTTTTTTAAATTGTTGTTGGTTTTGTTTTTATTTATTTATTTTAAGATAGCTGTTCCACAGTCATTTTAAGCCCTTGCTCATTTTTTTGGATAAACATCTCACACAACATCATTCAATGTGATTTGAAATTTCAAAACCCTTTCCACTTTCCAAATTGACAATCAGCTGGCTTCCTAAAGCCAGGCCCAGGGGCACCCATTCTCACGAGACTGCATCAGTCAGAGTCCAGCTGGCAACAAAAGAATCCTTTCAGAGAGATTCAGGCTCTAGCACTCCGATGCTAGGAGCAGCAAGCTAATGTTTCTAACTCTAGCACTACTGCTGGGCAGTGATGAAAGCTTGTAGCCATGGCTGTTCTGCTAGCTGAAGAGGAAAAATAGCCGGAGCCCAGGAATTAGAGACCAGCCAGCCAATACAGTAAGGTGCCACCTCAAAAAGAAAGTCGGCTGGAGATATAACCCAGAGGTAGAGCACTGGCCTAGCATGTGTGAGGCCCTGGATTGAATCCCTGTAATGCAGAGATGAAAAACCTCTATCTACCACTATGAACAAATGTTACCTAGTTTTCCTAAGGACTGGTAGACAATGTTCCTTCTCGCTCCCCTCTGCAGGAAGCCTGCTGGAGTTTCTCAAGAGTGAAGAAGGTAGCAAGCAGCCGTTGCCAAAACTCATTGACTTCTCAGCCCAGGTGAGCCTGTGCCAACAATGCTCGGGAAAGGTGGCATCACTTAAGTGCTCTGTGTCTGTTGTGTGAATTCTCACCCCTTTCACATGCACAGGCATTGGTCCCAGGACCCCACGGACACCAAAACCTTGTGTTTGCTCAAGTCCCTTGTAGAAAATAGTATATTTACAAATAATGTAGGCACATTCTCCCATATACTGATTAATGCATCTCTGGTGGCTTATGGAATCCAACATAAATGCATGGAAATATTGTCATTTTGTACTGTTTAGGGGATGATAATCGTTTTTAGAAGTCTGTAGAGACTGAATGTAGAGCAATTGTTTTTAAGATGCTCTTGGTGCATATTAGCTGGATCTGCAGATGCAGGACCCACAGACATGAATGTTCTTCGTATGGACCAATTCATACAGAGCTCACATCAAAACTACAGATGTTTTGAAAAGATTTATTTTTATTTTATGCATATTGGTATTTTGCCTGCATGTAAGTCTGCATGCCGCATGCATGCCTGGGCCTGCAGATGCCAGAGGAGGGCGTCAGATCCTCTAGAACTACACTTACAGATGGTTGTGAGCCACCATGCAGCACTGGGACCTAACCCTGTCCTCTGGAAGAGCAGCCAGTGCTCTTAACCACTGAGCCATCTCTCCAGCTCCTGGAATAATTTTGTTGGTTGGTTGGGTTTTGGTGTGAGGCATGGAACCTAGGACCTCATATGACAGAGAAGGACTTCTACCTTTAGCTAGCCGTGGAAGTTATCCATTCTTTATGTTAACAGATCACCTCATGGCTTGGTAGCCTAATATAATAGCTTTGAATACTTTCCTGCCTGTAGCAGGCTCAGTGAACCACTCTGTGAACTGAGGGGACATGAGTAGCGTGTGCAAGGTGATCCTTATAATCTCTCTCCGTGTGGCCTCTCATCACTCAGTATTTCAGCACAGCTTCTTTATAGTGCTGCATCAGAGTCCCAGGAGGGACCCAGCCAAGGAGCTGGTGGGTTAGCCTCTGTTTGCACTGACTTGTCAATACCCTTTTGGCTGAAACCAGTCACAGCAGCCAAGACCATCGTCAGTGCTGGACAAGAGTGATGAGTCCTGACAGGCAAACAGAGTCTGGTCACAGGACCTGAAATGGAGGTGTGAAGACCTTAAGTACAAAGGGCATGATGGTGAGTGACTGTAATTCTAACATTCAGGAGGCAGAAGATGGATGATCAGGAGTTCCAGGCTAGGTTTGAGTTACAGATTCTCCAAAAAGAAAAAAAAGTTTAATGTGGACAAGGAAACTAAAGTCCAGGGAGGCTCTGCAGCTGGCCTAAGTTGCAGGACTGATTAGGGCGAGGGAGTGGGTGCAACAATAATGAAGATGGCAAACACTGCTGGCCTCATGCAGTTCGCTTGTAGATGAGACCATGGGGATTAAACAATGGGCTCTCTTAACCTACCACTCTATGGCCCGGGCTCACAGTCTGAAGAGCAAGAATCCAGCAAAGAGAAGGGGATGTAGAGAGCTTAGGGACACATCATAAAACCCCATTTAAAATAAGTAAGCACAACTAAAATGGTTCAGTGGGTCAGCTATGCTAGGTGAACAGCACCCTGGGTTCTATTCCCAATGCTGTACAAAAAAAGAAGAAAGGAAGGGAGGAAGGGAAGGAGGGAGGGAGGGAGGGAGGGAGAGAGTGAGGGATGGAGGGAGACAGGGAGAGAGTGAGGGAAGGAGGCAGGGAGGGAGGGAGAGAGTGAGGGAAGGAGGCAGGGAGGGAGGGAGGGAGGGAGGGAGGGAAGGAAACAGTCTTTCTCACCCCCTGCCACACACAGCACAAATGCTGTTTTTCTCCATCCCTGTCTCATGCTCTCTGCTCTCTGTGGGCAAACATGGCTGACGGTGCTGCTGTGGGAATGCACAGCTTGGTCCAGGAGCCATCAGAGATTCACCAGGAAGTGGTCTCTAGGAGGAGCCTGGGGATTAGAAATTCTGCACATGGAGAGGAGTAGGAAAGGGGGTCTAGACGAAAGAAACAGCCAGTAGTACAAAAGCCCAAAGAGAAAATGAAGGGGCTGAGCCTGGGCAGCTAGAACCTTGAGAGTGTGGCACAGATGAAATGGATATATGCCATATATGCCGGGGGTGGGGGGGCTGAGGGAGTTTGCAACTGAGTCTAAGGTTGAGCCTGGTGGAGAGCCCCGGGTCAGAGCTCATTTGAGTATGCAAATACCAGGGGCCCAGAACCACTGGCAAGGTCGAACCAGAGGCTCTACTTTCAGAGTCCTGAATACCAGAGGCATATGGAAACCAAGGCCTGGCACTTCCATCTCAGTGGGCCCCGGGCCTCCTGGAAACAATAGTGTGGTCTATTACCAAAGCATAACCATCAAACCATCAAGAGCCTTGCTGGGCAAGGGTCAAAGGCCGCAGCAAGAGCTACTGTTAGGGCCGAGGATATAGCTGGGTCAGTAGAGAGCTTGCCTAGCACAGGCTTGATACCCAGCCCCACATAAACCAGATGCAGTGGTACACATCTGTAATCTGAACATTTGAGAGGTAGAGGCAGGAGGACCAGATGTTCAAAGTTATCCTTGGTTATTTAGTGAATTCTAGGTTAGCCTGGCTGCATGAGATTGTTTCAAAACATGGAGCCACACTCTCCCTGTTTCACAGCTGAGGAAAACAAACAAGGCCAGAGATATTCTGGTCTTGGTATACCCAAAAGCAGAGGTCAATTCTGAGTCTAGGGTGAACAGGATGCTACCTGGGGACCTGGTTTTGTGACCTCAGTTCTCCTCTGCTTCTCACTCTCCCTGTCCAAGGGGAAATTGCAATCACAAATGTGGATTTCAAGTTTGGTATCTGGTTTTAGCCCCAATTTTATATAATAGATTTTTAAAATGTCTTAAGAGACTATTCCTGGACTGGAGGGATGGCCCAGCAGTTAAGAACACTGGCTGCCTTTCCAGAGAACCCAGGTTCAATTCTCAGCACCCACATGACAGCTCACAACTGTCTGTAACTCCAGTTCCAGGGGATCCTACACTGTCACACAGACATGCATGCAGGCAATTCACCAGTACACATAAAATAAGAATAAATATATTTTAAAGAGAGAAAGAGAGCTATTCCTATTGAAGTTGACAGAGAGTTGCCTTATTTGTGACCTTTCTCATATCTGACCACTCCTAGACAACCTGAGAATAAGTCCTGGGCTAGAGGCTGGGGATGTGGCTCAGGGTAGAGCCCTTGGCCGGTATACAGGTCCTGGTTTAATTTCCAGCAGGATACACACACATACACAAAAGAATCTGTTAACCAGTTCTTCTGGGACTCCCTGATGTTCTCGGAAGCAGATCCAAGTTCTCCTACCTGACTTCATGGAAATCTGCCTGGTGGTTTTCAAATCTCGTTGGCTCATCACCATCAATTCACCTATCCTTACATAGTTGACAAACATTTGAGAAGCAACGTTCTACAAGTGTAGTGACTTATAGTGTGTTTGTGTTGGTCCTAGCTCTCCCAGTAAGGCTCTGAGCAAGACACTTGGCCACTCTGTTGGCATTACTAGCCACCTCTGTAAGTGCCTACTATATGGAAGACTGTACTTATCTGTGGTACAAGCTTCAGGGCTAATCTCCCTATGAACCCTAGGAGACAGGCTTGAGGTCACAGCTTGGGGATCATGATGAGCTGGTCCAACTCTGGAGCCTTTAGCCATGATGCTCAATTATTTCCCAAGCACAGTTAGTATTCCTGCCCCATTGAGCTCACATGAGAACCAGTGGCGTATATGTGTCAGCCAATGGGAGAGCAGTAGGCACAGAGGGTGAGTGAACTCAGCAAAGCCATAGCTCACAGCCCTGGTTCTGGAACTTTCATGCTATGCAGCTATGCATTGGTTATTTACTTCTCTGGGCTTTCATTTTCTCTCCTGTGGAAAGGGTTAGCAAAACTATCTCCCCAAGCCTATAGGGGGAAAAACAAAAAAACAAAAAAACAAACAAAAAACTGTTTATCAGTTTATAACAAATAAGCTGCAGTATCATCCTAATAACTTTTGCTGTTCTTTTAAAGATACCCTATAAATTTTCCACACTCTTCAGGTCAAAGCCAGTCTCACTCCACTACAACCTCTGTTTCAGACAAAAATCAGTCTTGAGATTGCATTCAGAAAGTTGGGTCTGTTTCCAGTGCCTTTGACGCCCTCTGCTGTTCATTGTTTGCAAGTGCGCTACCTGGTCACTTCAGGCTTTGCAGTTTACGGGCCAGCCCTGCTTTGGTCTGTCTGATCAGACTGCCACCCCGGGGTTCCCTAGGATAATCTCATCTGATAATTCAGTCTTTGCTCTCTAGAGTCAGCTTGGTTTGAAGCTGATATTCAGGACAAGTATCTCTGTAAAGTGGATCGTGATGATTCTACCTTCACATAGCTCCAAGATAGTTTTATAAATTGTATGTGCTGCTTTCTAGACGACCAAGATTCATCTTCCACCTCTTTTGTCCTAACCTTTATAAGCAAGAAAATCTCCAAGTCACAGCCATGTATCTTTCTACCAGAAGCTTCCAGAATAAGAATTCTTCACACTGCCCTCATGCCATGGGCTGGCCAGCCCGGCTGCCATCCCAGCTGAGATCTAGCTCTTCCAGTCGGTCCTCCCCAACATCTACTCCATCTACGAGCTGCTAGAGCATGTGGGAGGGCTGGTGCTGCAGACCCAGGTCCAGGATCATGCCATAACCGTCAAAGATGAAAACCTAAAGCATGGCTCTGATCGGAGATGGCAGCAGCCTGATACAGGACCATGGAGCAGCTCCAAGGAGCCTGAGAAACCCATGGAGGCTCACAGGGGAGATGCGTCAGTGCGGGAGGAGTCTGAAGAGCCTTGGTATCTGTGGAACAACTTTTTAAAAGGCAGATCCTGTGGGAAGATGTTTTTAAAGAGTGGGCTCACCAAATCGGAAGATGGCAGAGCAGAACCGCGTATGGAGAATGAGGAAACTAAAATGCAGAGATGAAGGGTATGGGAGCAATGGGGGACAGTGCCACTGGGGCTGCCACCGCTGCTTACCCTCGTGGGCTAGGAGTGTGTGTTGGTGCGCAGTACTGCCTGCGGGCTGCAGGCACAATGATTGTGCCCGGTGAGCCTCGGACCTGCCAGCATCGAGAGCAGAGAGGTGTGCGGTGGACTGGAGCTCTCTCGGATCCTGCCCCTGGATGCCTGCCTAGCCACAAGATCACCCTGACTCTAGGCAACAGCCAGATATCCAAAACGAGTCTCAGTGATGGTTCAATATTTATGATGCTTCAGAAACCAGAAACCTTGAACCAAACTAATGACCCATTGCAACGAATATTTGAATGTAAAGCTGCGCGCGCGCGTGTGTGTGTATGTGTGTGTGTGTGTGTGTGTGTGAGAGAGAGAGAGAGAGAGAGAGAGAGAGAGAGAGAGAGAGGGAGAGGGAGAGGGAGAGGGAGACGGAGAGAGAGGAGAGAGAGAGAGAGAGGGGGGAGGGAGAGAGAGGGGGGAGGAAGAAGGAGAGGGAGAGAGAGGAGAGAGAGAGAGAGAGAGAGAGAGAGAGAGAGAGAGAGAGAGGGAGAGCTGTGTGACACACTGCGGGTTTTCAATGCTACTTCAACAAACAAATATGAGACGGATAGGTTGGAAAGGAGGAGGAACAATGCGGCATGTGCAGGATGGAGAGAGGCGGAAACAGAGATGTAACATTGGTGGCATGTGGGAGGAGGCTGCAGTGGACATGGGACAGAGGAGCATGTCATTGCTGAGGACTGGCAGGGTGGTGTGCAGCAGCCTGGAGCTTATGCAGACTCTTTCCAGAACACACTGCCCAACGGCACTATCGTCCTGGCTCTGATAAGATGTCCAAGATTAAGAACAGCTCATTCTCTGCTTTTGGGCCACCTGGAAAGACCCCCATCATCCATGCTGCCCCTGGAGGCCTTGTCAGTATCTGTGGTCCATGCTAACAGCTGGAGGACATGCTGGTATCCGTGGTCTGTGTAGCTAGCCACTCTATCCATGTTGATGCCCACAGTCTTGTTGATGTCTGTGGTTTGTGCCGCCACTGGAGGCCATGTTGATATCTGTGGTCCTGCTACCACCAAAAGCCATGTGGATGTCTGTGGTCTGTTCTGCCACTGAGGGCCATGAGGGTGTCCATGGTCCATGCTCCAGCTGAGGGCTATGTTGATGTCTGTGATCTGTGTTACCACAGAAGGACAAGTGGATACACTTGGTCTTGGTTGCCACTTGAAGCCATGTTGATGTCTGTGGGCCATGCTGCAGCTGAGAGCTGTGCTGCTACTGGAGGACATATTGAGGTCTGTGGTCTATGTTACCAACAAAGACCATGTAGATGACTGTGGCCTATGCTGTCACCTGAAGTCGTGTTGATGTCCATGGTCTGTACTGCCACTGGAGACAATATAGATGTCTGCGGTTCATGCTATCGCCAGAAATCATGCAGAAGTCTGTGTTGTCACTGACTGTAAAAAGCAAGGCAGCCGGGCATTGGTGGCACCTGCCTTTAATCCCAGCACTCAGGAGGCAGAGGCAGGCAGATCTCTGTGAGTTGGAGGCCAGCCTGGTCTCCAGAGCGAGTGCCAGGATAGGCTCCAAAGCTACACAGAGAAACCCTGTCCCAAAACAACAACAACAACAACAACAACAACAAACAACAACAACAAAAAAGAAGAAGCAAGGAAGCTACTTTTGTAGTAGTATTGATGACTGCAAACTCACAGTTGAGAAAGAGGGACATAGAAGGCTTCTCTGATTACCTCCCCCCATCCCCACCCTACCCTCCCTGCAAAAAGAAACAGTCTAGACAGGAAGTCATTGATAGGAACTCTTAAAAACTGTGACAGGAATGCTGAAGTGTAGCTCTTCCCAGTTGATGCCTTCTGGCAGGGGTGAGGGTGAGGAAGGACTCAGTTTTCTTTAAGGGGCTGGCCTGGGAGTTTGATCATGCTACAGTGAGTATATAGGCAACCCAAGATGGACTTGTGGGGTTTTTTCCCTTTTCTTTTTTTCTGGGAAGAGGTCACAGGGTGGGGTGGACCTGAGAGAACTGGGGAAGTGAGTGTAATCAGGTGCGTTATGTGAAATCCCCAAATAATCAATAAAAATGTTATGTTAGAAAAAAGAATTCTCTTGAGTTCTTTACTAGAGTTTAGTATGTGACGATGACACTGTCTCTTCCGGGTGCAGATTTCGGAGGGCATGGCCTTCATTGAGCAGAGGAACTACATCCACCGAGACCTCCGTGCTGCCAACATCTTGGTCTCCGCATCCCTGGTGTGTAAGATTGCTGACTTTGGCCTGGCACGGATCATCGAGGACAATGAGTACACAGCCCGGGAAGGTAGGGGACGCTGCCCTCCTGCAAGGGCTGGGAGATCTGAGCGTGGACACCTGTCAGAGAGACTGGAAACAGCTAAGGTCTGTCCTAGACTAACTCTTGCATCAAGTTTGACAGGGTCCTTGTGCACAGTGCCTTCGCTGACAAAATACCCAACAAAGGCTACTTAAGGAAGGCTTTATTTAATTTGGCTTATAGAGAGGAGAGCCTATCATGGTGGGTCAGTAAAAGCATACAACTGGTCACATTGTGTCCACAGTCAGGAAACAGACAGGCAGATGCTGGTGTTCAGCTTGCTTTTTCGTTTTTATGTGCTGCACAGCCAGTGGGATGGAGCCGCCCACATTCAGGATGGGTCTTCCACCTCAACTAACCCTATTCGGGAAGTCCCTCACAGACATGCCCAGGGGGCCTTCTCCTGGGTGATTTTAGATCCTGTCAGGATGACAATGTTAATGTCACACACACAAGACTTGAAGAGGAACATTTCAGACCAGACTGACATGACAACTTCGGCAAGTACAGGTAGCAGTGAGGGGTGAGAGTAACTTTATGCACAGGAGACAAAAACAGAGCAATCTAAGTGTCCACAGACAGGGTGTGCATATCAACTGTATCATACAGCAGCAGGAAAACCCACCCCAGGGGCTGGAGATGGCACTCAGTGGTGGAGGCTAGACTAACACAGAAGGCTATAGGTGTAATCCCCGTCACACCACATCAATGCCACCTGCAACTGAAGGGGAGATATGACATCCAAATGAAAGAGGCAAATCTAAACAGAGCAGATACCAGGAGGTTCCACAGATAGGCAAAAGTGAAGCCCCAGACTGAAATACCCTAACTGATGCCCATTAGCTGATGAACACATGAAGAAAATGTGGAGTATCCATAGCACAGAATTATGCTTGTGATAAAATGGAACGGAGTGTTGAAAGGCATGCGATGTGGCATACACTGGTCTTGGAAACATGCTAAGGGGAAGCCAGGCACAGATACAGATATCTGTTACCCTTGGTATGAACTTCCCAAGTGAGACAAAGACAGCTGTGGTTGCCTAGGGCTGGGGGGTGGGGGGACTTGGGAGAAAGGGGTTCTGAGTGCTAGGGATGGGACTGGATGACATGTAATGAAAAAGTCTAAAATTCACAACTCTTCCACTATTATAAAAGTCACTGGAGTACACACTTTAAATGTGTGGATTTTATGCCCTGTAAATTATATCTCATTAAAGCTGTAAAATTCACTTATACATACAAAGCTGTGAACAGGGGCTAGCTAGAGTGGGGAGATACTGCCCAGGAGGAGCTGGAAAGAGCCTTCTGAAAGCCTTCTGCAAATGTTCTCTGCCTTAATCTGATTATCACAGGGGCTACTCAGCTTTGACCATCAAGTTAGACCTTAAATATCTGTACACTTTAGCCTAGTCTAGAGGTATAAGCTTGTAACCCCAGCTACTCTGGAGACTGAGATCACAAGTCCAAGGCCTGCCAGGACAAGTTAATGGTCCTGTCCTGTCTCAAAATAAAAAGTAAAGGGGCTGTAGTTCTGTGGCAGAGCACATGGCTAGCATGTACATTGTGCTAAACTCAATCTCAAGTAACACACACACACACACACACACACACACACACACACACACACACACACCATTTGATTTCTGTCATGATTGGATAAAGTTTAAATTAAGTACAAAAATATAAAACGAAAAGTTGGCTATATAATCTAAGTCTGTAGAGAATAAGCGAGATATGAAGAAAACTCTAGATATAAAAGATGGCAGCTGAAGATGTTGCTTGATAATAGAGTGCCCGCCAAGCATGTTCAAGGTTCTGAGTTCACGTCTTAGTACCACATAAAACAAAAGTATGCAATAAAGAAAATGGCTGGCTTAGAGTTAAGGATGTAGATCCCAGCACTCAGGGATCTACATGAGTTGGAGCCAACCTGTAACGTGTAAACTCTGTCTCTCGAAAAGAAAGGAGGGGCTGGAGAGATGGCTCAGTGATGGAGAGCTCTTGGTGCTTTTGCAGAGAACCTGGGCTAAGTTCCTAGCACCTACATGATGACTTACAACCATCTATAACCCCAGTTCCGTGAAACACTTATCTAAATTGTTCATTATTAATAACTTAGGAGTCAGATGTTGGGGTAAAAACCTGATAGATCAAGAAAGCAGAGAAGAATGACCAGCTAACCCTGTCTCCACACTTCCCAGATCAAAAAAAAAAGGGGGGGCATGGAAATCTTTCTAAGCCCCTCCTTATTCCTTTCTGTGTCTCTCATATTCTGGGTCCTCCAAAATCTCTATGGCTAATTCCAGTCAGTCAGTCATTGACTCCACCCTCTGATTCAAGGCCAACTTTAAATAGTCTCAGAGTGTCACAGTGAAATCAAATATCCTGCAACATTCCCCCCTTTTTGTCTAAATAAAAAGTAAAGATTTTTTATTCTAACACAGTAAAATTATATACAATAAGAAAATTTACCAGGTATTATCTTTAAGAAAGGAAAAGTTTTAACTCTAACATAGCAAAACTATATACAATAAGAACAATTATCAGGGGGGCTGGAGAGAAGGCTCAGAGGTTAAGAGCACCGGCTGCTCTTCCAGAGGTCCTGAGTTCAATTCCCAGCAACCACATGGTGGCTCACAACCATCCGTTATGAGATCTGGTGCCCTCTTCTGGTGTGCAGATATACATGGAAGCAAAATGTTGTATACATAATAAGTAAATAAAATCTTTTTTAAAAAGAACAATTATCAGGTAAGAATTACATTTACAATATCCATTTGTATTTAGCAAATTCAGAGAAATTACTCTGTTATCTATCCTATTTTGCTGAATCCTAAGTTTTATACCTAAACCACTTTCTGTCATAACTTCTATTACCATCCTAAAAATATCCTTTTAGACCTTAAAACGTTTTCTTAGATAAACAACTTAAACTTTTATGTCTCTCAACCTTATAAACCTTACATCTCTTTTCTAAGTTTCTTTTCTGAATTTGGTAACAAAGAAAATGTTATATCTAGTCTTCAACCCCTCAGAGACCCAAGAAGGGTGTAATATTACCCAAGTAAGCAGGAAGTACAAAGCAAACAACTTCCAAAACCATAGAAATGCAGAGACATCTGGCTGTCTGGACAGTCACCCCAGGTTCCTCTGCAACACTGGGCGTGCATCTTTGTACAGGCCTAGAATATCTGACAGACTTTTCTGTGAAGCAGGAATTTTGAAAGACTGCTCTACTTTGTCTTGGCAAAGTTTGGCAGTTGTCTTCCTTTGTGTCCTGCTTGTCCAATTTGGACAGCATACTGTCAGCAGTTGAGGCAAGGGCAATTTCTTGCCCAATGGCTAACTTTGCCAAAAATGAAAGCAAATTCCATATGGAGGTTCTTCGATGCCCATTATCTTCTCTGAAGTGATTGGTGCTGCCAGAAGCAGACGTATCACACTGTCATGAAAATCCTTATGTTATCAAAACATCTTAAATGCCGTATTCTGTAGAACTCTGAAGTGTATGAAGACCATCTATTTATCTAAAATATAGCTCTGACCTTGAAAACATACCTAACATGACTGCAAGTTTATCTTAAATGGTTTATAATAATAGCTTTCAAGGACTAGAACTTTACATTTTAAAATGAGCTGCATAGGCAAAATACCTTAAACAAGGGTGTAAACATATACACAGTATGTTAAAACAAAAATAACCTTAAATTTGTATCAATATACAAAACTCCCTTAAATGATAGTAGAAACATATATACAGTATGTTCTAACAAAAGTAACTTTAAATTTGAATCAATATACAAAAATCCATACCAATGTAAAATATTTGAGATTAATTGTTGCTTTTTAGTTTAAAAGTAGATTCAATAATCTACCCTTTTATCCTATCATTCTTATATCCTCCCTTTTTCATCTTTTCAAAAAGAGATCCCTGAATCTGACCACCTTTGCTTAGTTTCCTCTCTGGCCATGACCAATAACAACTTGCAACTAACCCCTCCCTAAATGATGATAAATATCCATAACCCTCCAAACAACCAAAAAACACCCCCACCTCTTGGGAATATGGATGTCATGTTCTTTTGGGGGGGGGGCAGTTTCGAGATAGAGTTTCTCTGTGGCTTTGGAGGGTGTCCTAGAACTAGCTCTTGTAGACCAGGCTGGTCTCGAACTCACAGAGATGCGCCTGCCTCTGCCTCCCAAGTGTTGGGATAAAAAGCGTGTGCCACCACCACCCAGCTGGGTGTCATGTTCTGTTTTTTTAAGATTTATTTATCTATTATGATTTAGTATGTGTACAGTGTTCTATCTGCACGTTGCCTTCAGGCCAGAAGAGGGCACCAGATCTCATTACAGTCGGTTGTGAGCCACCATGTGGTTGCTGAGAATTGAACTCAGGACCTATGAAGAACAAGCAGTGCTCTTAACCACTGAGCCATCTCTCCAGCCCGGGTGTCATGTAAAATTGTTTCCTGTTTCCTGGTGGCAAAGACATCTTTAGGGGACCCTGGGAAAAATGAGATAATGGCCAAGTCCTGGGAGAGCTAGCTATTGTCCAGTCTTGGTGTGATGGGAAAGGTCAGTGCTTACTTGAAGTCCTGGCTGGAGTAGTCTAGGAGACTGGACCATCTTAACTGTCTGATTTGAAGCTGTCCTGAGCAGTTTGTAGTCCAAAGCTGATCTTTGGGTTGTGTTTGTCAGCTTAGTGGCATTATCACAATCTCGGGGGATTCATCACTGCAGGGCCCCCATCATCTTCTCAGAGACCTCAAAGGTCTCCAAGGAATGGTCATGGTTTCCTGCAGAAAGTGTAAACATTTTAAAAATCATATGTAGCAGATTGCCAAGAGGTTAGAGGACCACAGTCTGTTAAATACATCCAGGGTACACAAACTTAGTTCCTAGTTATCTGCTTCAGACTCAAGCCCAAAATCACATACAGGAAGCTAGATAAAGCTTATTTCCAGAATTAGTTAATACTCTGTATAACCATTAATATCATGACAAAGTTTAAATATATATGTATATATCCTTATAAAATTTAAAATAATATTTATAAATTAAGAGTATTAAAAGAAAGTATTCAAGAGTCAAATGGAAACCAAAGGATGATAACATTAATGGCAATAGAATCGTCCCATACATTTTGTTTTCTTCTGTCCCATACGAGGTTGCTCTTCTGACATGAGACAGGGATTTTGCATTTTCCTTTAACAAACATCTGTGGGCTTAGAGAAGGAGAAAGAGAACCACACTCCAACTCCAAAGCCAGCTTTAATTTTTAATTGAATTGGAACCACAAAAAGGCCATTTGCCTCATATGTCTGTAGAGAAGTTGCAAAGATTGGGAACACTAATTCAAATTAGCGTCATGTGACAGAGCCATGAGGGTGGAAAGTGGCATGGGGGGAAGGCCTTAGTCACTGGTGTTGGCAGTGACACTGGCTCTTTCCACAGGCAGGAGCCAGCCCTAAGAGGAGGCATTAGAGTCGACACGGCAGTTTGGACTGCAGCAAGAGTCTGTGGCTAAGCGTCCTCAGATCCCTCCCTGGGTCCTGGTTAAGTCGCTTTCTTCCCCTGATGCTGCTGCTTTCGTGATGAAGCCAGTCAGGGTTATGTCCAGCTCTGAAAGGCTCCCGTGCTCATGGGTGCTTAGGGTGATGTGTGCCTTGTGGACATTAAACCGTTAGAGATGGTGGTCTAGCTTCTCAACCTATAGGACCACTCTGGCCATGAAGCCAAGCGCCCTACTGAAGTCTTTGAAATGGAACTGCTTGAAGCTCTCTAGCTCTTCCCACCTCTCAGCCCTGCTGCTGGTCCTGCCCCTCAGCATTCAGCCTATATCTCTGCCAGCCATGATGGGGCATGGACAGCAGATGGCAGCAGAGAGCGATTGAGAGCTGGGCTATAATCTCCAACACTGACTTTCACCATTGTGATGGTGCAGAAATAGTTGCATTCAGAAGAAATGATGCAAAGGTGAGCATGGTGGCACATGGCTCCAATCTGGGAAATAGGGGGGTGGAGGCAGAAGGATCAGGAGTTCGAGGCCAGCCTAGGCTATAAGAGAGCCTGTCTCATAAGAATGAATGAATGAATGAATGAGTGAATGAGTGAATGAGTGTGAGAGTGAGTGAGTGAGTGAGTGAGTGAGTGAGTGAGTGAGTGAGAGTGAGTGAGTGAGTGAGTGAGTGAGTGAGTGAGTGAGTGTGCTCACCATTTGGATATTGGTTTCTTTCCCAGTCTGGTGATATGCTGCTGTCTTCCCTCATGATGCTAAGTCAGAGCAGTGAGCTACAGCTCTGATTTAGTCACCAGAGGAAACACAAAGAAGCCACGGTGTGACGCTGCTGAACTAAGTGTTAAGTGAGCTAAGTGTTCAAGGCATTTTTAACTTCTGGTTTTTGCCTTACTGTGGGTTTAATCGGAAAATAATCCTAAATCTAGGAGCAGCTACAGACAGACCATGTTCACCAGTCAGACTGGAATGAAGACAAATACCCACAAACAGCTAACCAAACACATCCTAGGGGGAAGGAGGGAGGGGTAGGGAAGGGACACCCAGTGAAGGGCAAACCTCAGGCAGCAGCTGAGGTCCCTCCTGCACCCCATGGCTGGGGGTGGGGTGGGCTGAGGTATCAGCTGTAACCTGGACTCAAGCCACCCTGAAGCTCCTCCATCCCCAAAGACCTCCAGGACCCCACTTGTCAGTTATAATTCACCAGGTATCACCTGGTGTCGAGGCGGCACCTGGTCCCCAAAGCAAGCGCCTGCATTATATCCCTATGCTCATTCCTCCTCGCTTCAGCTGTCTGTCCTCAAGACAGACATCTCTTGATACCATGGATGTAGGAAGCACATTGCAAGGACATCACTGTTTGCAGGGGGCAGCAGGTGTCCCTGTCCTGGTTCCTCTCTTCCTAGCAGAGCCCCAGCCCTCACTGCTCCCCAGACTCACTCTGATTCTGTCCAACCCTGCAGGAGCCAAGTTCCCCATCAAGTGGACAGCTCCTGAAGCCATCAACTTTGGTTCCTTCACCATCAAGTCAGACGTCTGGTCCTTTGGTATCCTGCTGATGGAAATTGTCACCTATGGCCGGATCCCTTACCCAGGTAGGCACAGGGACGTGGGCCTAGGGGTGTGTCTAGAGCCCAACCTGGCCATGGCCCATCTTCTCAGCATGCCTATTAAACTCAGCTCTTGATCATCCTCCAATCTCTCTTTACCTTTCCCATTTCAATCAGAGGTACCACCATCTACCATTCCTCAGCCTGCAATAGGGGATTTGTTGGCTGTTTCTTCTTTTGCACACCCTATTGCACCTAAGCAATCAGAGCTCAGTGCAGGAAGTAGATGAGAAGATCTGGAGAAGCCAGAACTGGCAGGGTGTGGGTATGGTAATGAATGTAGCTGTTCACTGAAGTGTCTAGGAAACCATGAGACGGCATTGGGCTGGAAAGAAGTCAAATGATTTTTTTTTTTGAGATAGGGTTTTATGACGTATCCCTGGCTGGCCTGGAACTTGCTATGCAAACCAGGCTGGCCTTGGAGACCCATCGGCCTCTGTCTGCCAAGTTCTGGGCCTAAAGGTGTACACACCACACCTGATGGTTTCTATCTTTAAGAGATGCATGCTTGAGGCTGGAGAGGAGGATCAAAGGTTAAGAGTACTCTTGCAGAGGATGGGGGTCCAGTTCCCAGCACCCACATGGAAGCTCACAGCCATCTGTCACTCCAGTTCCATGGGATCTGATACCCTTTTCTGGCTTCCAAGGGCACCAGCATGTACATGGTATATATATATGCACGTGTATATATGCACACATATGTACAGAAAATAAAATAAATAAATGTGAGGGGCAGGCTTTGGTTCAATATGAATGGATGAGAGGATGTGAACAAGGTGGCACCAGGCAACTGGGGACAGGGTGGTGGCACTAGAAACAGAGATAACCTCATGAACTGGGCCACATTTCAAAAGAAGCAGAGAGAGAGTCAAGGATGGCTGTCCTGGCATGGAAGGAGCTTGGGCATCTGAGTTGATTCACTTGGGGTGATATATAGACATCCAAGTAAGAGGTTTAAGGTTTCTTTGGTTTTGTTCTTAATCATTGCGCCATCTCTTTAGCAACCCCCCCAATTAAAAAAAAAACAAAACTAAAAGTAAAAATAAGGTTGGTGATTATAGGTATCTCATGGCTGTTTTATAGATAACAAATGTAAACTTGAATAGAATAAGGAAATAATCCTATTCAGAGTGACCTTGAGTCTGGTTTTGTGGGTATACTAGTAAAATCCAGGCAGAGGATTACATAACCTACATCCATTCAGATGCCTGAGGCTGCAGTTAACAAAACTAATGGACAACCAGCCGTGGTAGCGCACACCTTTAATGCTAGCTCAGTGAGTTTGAGGCCTATATAGTGAGGTCTATATAGTGAGTTCCAGGATCAGAGCTACATTGTGAGCCCTGTAGAGATAGGGGCTGGAGAGATGACTCAGCTCTTAAGAACACTGACTGCTCTTCCAGAGCACCTGGGTTCAGTTCCCAGCACCTATATGGCAGCTCACAACTGTCTGTAACTCCAGTTCTAGAGGATCTGATAGTCTCATACAGATATCCATGCAGGCAAAATATCAATGCACATGAAATAAAAAATGAATAAATATAGAAAAATGAGAGAAGGGGAGAGAGAGAGAGAGAGAGAGAGAGAGAGAGAGAGAGAGAGAGAGAGAATGTCGACCAAGAGTGGTGGAAACAGTAGGTTGGTTAATACTCTAATGCTCTGCCTCCTATGAGATCTGGCGTGGTTTGGTGGTTAGACAAACTCAGCAACTGGACAGCTATCAGGACTTAGTTTTTGAATCTTCCCCATATATTCAGATGGTAACTGCAGTTCCATTTGTCACTCCCCACACTGACTAAATTCTGCACCTCTTTCTCAGGCATGTCAAACCCAGAGGTGATCCGGGCACTAGAGCATGGGTACCGAATGCCTCGACCAGAGCACTGCCCAGAAGAGCTTTATAGCATCATGACCCGGTGCTGGAAGAACCGACCAGAGGAACGGCCCACCTTCGAATACATCCAAAGTGTGCTGGATGATTTCTACACGGCCACTGAGAGCCAGTATCAGCAGCAGCCTTGATGGGCAGGACATGAGCAGAGCCAAGCCCCAGGAGTACCTGTGACATGCTTAACCTTCTGGGCCCACTCCCAGACACCAACCCTCCCTTTACACACTCCAGCCACAGATTCTTCAGCTGTCGAGTGGGTGGGGTGAACTTTGCAATCTCTTTTTGACTCTAGTCATCTGCATTCTGCCATTCTCAGGGTTCCCAAGTTGGTATTTCTTATTTGCCTGAGAGGAATGAATTCAAGCTATCGTCTGTGGTTTAAGTGGGAACCTTAAAATAGTATTTAAATAAAGATATGAATGTCAAAGGCCTTCCCCAAAGGTCAGCTTCTCTGTTCCCAAATGTCTATTTGCCTTCATGCTGTGTGATGTGTCAGAGAGAAGGACCTTCCCAGAGGCCACAAGTGTGAAGAAAAGAGAGAATCTAGGTGGAGAGATGGCTCAGTCAGTAAAATGCTTGTCTGGCAAGCACAGGGACCTGAGTTCAATCCCCGGAAATCATGTAAAAATGCTGTGTGTGGTAGTGTGCATTTGTAATCCCAGGAGGGGCGGGGGAGGGTGGGAAGTGGAGACCAGAGGCTGCCTGGGACTCACTTTCCAGGCAGTCTATCCTAATTGGTGAGCTCCATGTGAGAGACTCATCTCTAAGGAGATGGATGGCATCCTGGAGAATGACACCTGAGGTTACCCTGTGACCTCTACATACATGTACACATATATCATACACACAGCACTCACCTATGCATAAAAAGGGGAAAGATTAGAAGCAATGCTCAATCTTGCTGGCTGTACCAGCTTCCTTTTGTTTCTGTAACAAATCCCCACAAGCTTGGGTGGCTTCAGACAGCATGCGATGGGGAAAGCCTTGAGTGCCAAATGGGCTAGCAGGGCTTTGCTGCTCCTGCTAAGGGAGCTAAGGGATTCAAGGGGAGGGATCGCTTCCTTGCCTTTTCTGGCTTCCTTTTCTGCCTTCACCTTTGACTGGCATTTCTCCACACCACTCCAAGCTCTACTTACATCTTCTGGCCTCCCCTTCATCTTCATCTCCGCAGCCTCTAAAGTAAGGACACTGGACTCGCCTAAATAAGCCAGAAGGATCCTTCTGCTTCATGATCCTTACTCATGATTGTAAAGTCCCCTTTGCCAAGGCAACATTTTTCTCAGCTTCTAGGGATTCACACACCTTTGAGGAGCCACTACTCTGCCTACAACACTGGCCCCTGGGTGCTCTGTGGTTTTGCCTTCCTTTCAGAAGCTGGCCCTGTCAGGACACCACATATGATCTCTCTCCTGTCGAGCCATACTAATACACGAGCTAGACCTCCCTTGGAGATGCTGGCCATGCCACACAGACATCATGATTGCTAAGATGGGCTTCATCACTGCAGGAGACCTTGGGTCTGAAGGTAGGACTGCTGAGAAGGGCCCTGGTACTTTGTAAGAGATATTCTTGGTGGCCCAGGAGGGAGACTGGCAGAAAGTAGAGGGGACAAGAAGGTGATAGACAATTTCTGCCTATCATCTCAGCTAAAAGTTCTTGGCAGTTGGATATTGTCACGGGGTTGGGGGGTAGAGAGAGGGGATGGTGACTATGGGACAGAGTGCAATGATACTTCCAAATCATGGCATCTCCCAAAGGATCTGTATCACAGCATCCCCTAGGATGGCATAAAACCCTGAATTTACTGAAGTCAGTCTGCATCCCTCAGTAGCTCATGGGTATAAGAACAGTAGAGACTAAGGCTAGCTGGATTTTAATATACATTCTCAGGAGAGAAACAAGGTGACTGTTCTCCCCGTTTTTACACTACAACCAACATTTCTGACCAGGGACATCTCTCCTTGACAGCTACCCTACAGCAAGGGTCACCCACTGGATGGGGTATCCTTTCTTCTAACTCAGTTCTAACCCTAACTAGTTGGAGGTACTGTCAGATCCCACAGGCTGGGGGCTCAGTCCCCACAACTTCCTCCCTCCACATTAGATGCCAGATGAAAGCTGCAGGTTGTTTTACTAGGCTCTCACTGGCTGCCTATAAGCCAGGCTCCCCACAGCTCCCTCCTTGAGTTCCATTGATTTGTTCAAGCTGCTCAGGGAACTCAGGAAGAGAATGGGTTTTACTGTTTTATCATAAAGGATACAACCAAGGAAACGATGACAAAATGCACCGTGGGAAAGGAGCTACGTGGCACTTCCACGTCCTCTTTAGACCCGCCACTCCATAGACATCTCCACACACCAGCTGTCTGGAAGCACTCTGAACCCTGTCTTTCAGAGTTTTATGGAGACTTTATCGCCTAGGTGTGATTGCTAATAAACTGGGTAGGAAAATCCAGCAAGGCCTGTCTTAGTATTTTTTTCTCTCTATGTGGCTTCCATACCTTCAGGCTATGGGTTAGAATCCCACTGGAGTGAGAAGACCCTTATCACATGCTATACAACAAAAGTCACCTCCCAAATAGAAAGGGGGTTGCCATGACCTACTTAGGGAAGACAGTTTAGCTTTTATGGACTGACTTGAGGAGGAAGTAATAAACTGGAAACTATGCACAAAATCTAAAACCACATCACACACACACACACATATCTATGCTCACATGCATATCTTATATTCATAAACACACACACACACACACACACACACACACACACACACACAACTTACCTGGTCTGTAACCTAACTGATTGTTCTCTTGCTTTGTGGTTTGGAATACATACTTTGGAGTCTTAAAACAAAGCCCAGGGTCTTATTACAACCTTGCACTAGAAATTTGTTCTATTTCTATTCAGAAACCCATGGGGAAGAGCACCCATCCCTGTCCCAATGATGTTGAGCTCGGCCATGAGACTTGTTTTGGCCAATTGCACATTAGCAAAAGTGAAGGAAACAGAAGTTTAGAGTGTTGTTTCCAGTCTTTCCCTCCAGTCTTCTTTCCTGATTAGAATGTGGCCTATGGAAAATGAGTGATATGAGGAGCAAATCTGGACCAGCCTTCAGGTTGGCACTAAATCCAGCTGAGCCCAGTCCAGGCTCGCTGAACCCCAGCTGGTCCTCAGACATGTGAAGGAGGAATAATTATCATAAGCTTTTGCTTTCTGGGGTTGTTTTGCTACATGGATATTATGGTAATGGCTGACTAAGACAGGCCCGGTTACATTTTCTTAACAATTTGTCCTTTGCAAAATTTTTAATTATTGTTCTTTTGAGACAGGGTCTCATTATGCATCCCAAGCTGGTCTCAAACTCCTGATCCTCCTGCCTCTGCCTCCCAAGGTCCTGGATTACAGGTGCATCCTACCACAGCTGGCCAGTTTCTCATTCTTAAACTTACTTATTGCAGTTCCAAGCAATAAGATGCCCTCTTCTGGCCACCCCAAGAACAGCATGCACATGGTGCACCAACACACACAAACGCATAAAATAAAATTCTTTAAAAAAAAATTGTGTGGGGGGCTGGAAAGATGGCTCAGAGGTTAAGAGCACTCCCTGGCTGCTCTTCCGAAGGTACTGAATTCGATTCCCAGCAACCGCATCGTGGCTTACAACCATCTATTATGGGATCTGGCACCCTCTTCTGGCATGAAGAGACACATGCAGGCAGAATACTGCATACATACTAAATAAATACATTAAAAAATTGTGTGGGTGTGTTTGTGGGTGGGGGGCACACCACAGCAGCACACATATGGAGGTCAGAAGGCAATCTCAAGTGTAGGTCTTCACCTTTGACCTTTCACCTTATTTAAGACAGGGTATCTTGATGCTTCCATCTGTGTGCCAGGCTAGCAGCCCCGAAAGCTTCTGCAGCCTCTGCTTTCATTTAGAGGGGTGCTATCTGCTTCTGTTTAGGGGGAGATGTCTGCTTTTGCTTAGAGGGGTGCTGTCTGCTTGTTTAAGGGGTGCTGTCTGCTTCTGTTTAAGGGGTGCTGTCTGCTTCCATTTAGAAGGGTGCTGTCTGCTTCTGTTTAGAGGAGTGCTGGGTTACTGATGCTTGAACTACTTTTTCAGGGAGGAAGGGTATAGGACAGAGTCTCACTCTGTAGACAAGGCTGGGCCTCAAACTCACAGAGATCTGCCTGCCTCTGCTTCCCTGGGGTTAGAGGCATGGCCACCATGCCTGGCTCATGCCCAGCTTTTGTTTTGGTTTTGGTTTTGGTTTTTCGAGACAGAGTTTCTTTGTGTAGCTTTGGAGCCTGTCATGGAACTTGCTCTGTAGACTAGACTGGACTTGAACTCACAAATATCCACCTGCCTCTGCTTCCCGAGTGCTGGGATTAAAGACATGCACACCACCACCTAGCCCATGCCCACCTTTTTCTGTGGGTTCTGGGGATCTGAACTCAGATTAACTCAGTCTGTCAAGCTTGAATAGCAAGCACTTTACTCAACATCCCCACCTCCATTTTTTTTTAGGCAAGGTCTCACTATGTAGCTCAGGCAGACCTCAAGTTCCTGGGCCCCAGCAATCCTCCTGTCTCAGATAAATTTTTCTTTCACAGACTCCACTTTTAGTGTTGTATCTGCCTCCATGCTTTCAACTGTCTTTTCCATGGTCTGGGATGAGTCGGTGTTAGATAAAATAGTAGGAAAGGAGGAACTGACTCATTGACCTTGTCTATAAAGTGATAAATTCTAATCCCTATAACTCCAGCACTTGCAAGACCAAGGCAAGAGGATTGGTATGAATTCAAGGCCAGCTTGGGCTGCATAGCAAAGGTCAGGCCAGCCTGAGCAAAAGAGAAAAAAGGAGAGAGACAAATCCTAAGTTTGAAAAATATGTTTCAAAGCATTTATCTAATGGGGGGACTAGTATCCAAAATATATACTTAATAAGTGTAAATATACACAAAATATTGACTTAATAAGAAAACAACTTGATTGCAAAATGAGCAAGGTTGGAAAAGGCACAAAGACAACACACAGGATGAGAAACATGTTCCACATTGTGTGTCATTGGGGGAGGAGGGGTGAAAACTTAAATGACCAGGGCACACTTAGCTTACCAAGACTCCAAATGCTGATGACACCAAACCTGACTGTAGGACACTGTCACTCAGTGCTGC